AAGCAACAGCTCTTAGGACTGCATTTCAGTCTTCACGTGGTGAAGCTGGAATAGTTAGCATGAGGATTTTCAGACAATTTGAAATGGATGTTAACGGAGACTGGACAAGACCTGCACTGCCTTCTGCAAATCATAATAGAAAACAAAGCTCAGTGGTGTCATATATTTTATGTTTATCAGCTGATGAACTCGCATAAAAATGAGATGTGAACCTTCTAAAGAGGAGCCTTGTTAATTTTTTGAAGAAGGTCTGTTTTAAGATGAGATGCCTAACTCAGGCATGGGAACATGTATCATGTTTTGTTGTAGGCACTAAAGAGCGTTTTACAAGTGTCAGGGAATTCTGAAAAATGCTTGGTAAAACCTTGTTCCAGTTACACAACTGCACTGTCTTCTCAACAAATGAACATATCTCTGAAGGAAGAGAATCTCAATTCTTTCAGCAGAAAATTTACATTAAACCTACCTTTCCTATTTTTTTTTTTTTCTTTTTTTCATGAAAGGGATTATGGCACTTTGCCAGAATTTTTTAATAGAAATCCACTTGCAAGAAAATATTTTAATGCTGTTGCAGCTAACCTGTTTATCTTGCACAATTATGGTGAACAATGCCATAGCCAGTATTCACCTCAGCACATGAAAATACCAGAGGTATTTTGCTGGGAAAAAGTATTGGGTTTTTTTCCTCACCCCACACCACCCCCTTTTTAAAATTGGGAAAAAACAATTAAACCTAGTACATGTACCTTATCTAGCAAATGTGATCTACAGTAGTATTGGCCAGGAGGTCCTAATGTCTGGACTATATTCAAGGAAGTCAGATCAAGAAGCTGAACACACTTCTTGCAGCTGGAATTTGATCTGTTATGTATATTCACATGCTCCTTAAAATGCTGTAAAGGGCAGCTCCATCACCTGCACAGTAGTTCAAAGGTTTCCTGGGAATATCCCATTGATTTTGCAGTGTTCTTGGGTAGGCATATCCCTGCTGATGTGTGCTGTTGTCCTTTTGGGGGTTTTATTTGGCAAAGGCAGATACGAGCAGGCTTCAGCTGGTGCTGGCTTCTTGCTGCTTGTACTCAGCTGCTTTCTCCTGTGCGACTGCCTGAGATGTGACTGCAGCAATGCTGGTCCACTGCATGTGCTGCTTCCCAGAAAAGAACAAACAGGGATTAATCAATGCACATTTATATGTGGCACATGGAAAGTAAGCCTGACGTGACTAGATGCATGTGAGGTGGTCAGGATAGGTAAAGATCAGGGTTCAGCTGTTTCTGCTGTAGAATTCCTTTGGTCTTTTAGTTTTCTGTGCATGAGCCTGAGGGTAAGAGGCACATACAGCAACAATCCGTAGGCTGGTGCAGAATTTTCATAAAGGCCCTATTCAGCCGGTAGAAATCGGTTTGTGTTCTCTGGCTTAAGATTCTGAGTGTTGTTAAAATAAAACTGTGTGGCTCTGCTTGAGCTTTTAGGTTCTTTTTTCCAAACCCTGCCTTAGTATCTTATAGTAATAAACTCTTACTGTTTTATAATCACATTGTGTAACTGGCACTTTTATACAAAAGCAACTATAGCAATACCGTTTTCTAATGGAAAAGCAAAACTCCTTTGAAATGAAAAGCTGAAATGTGTGCTTATTTTTTATTGTTTGCATGACTGTATTCCTGCTTTGAGGTCTTTCTGCATTTAGTTTGCTAAACTATACTTAGTTTTTAAATACACAAAAGATTTATGTCTAATTTTAGATCTATTGTTGCACAGGATTTCTGGCCATTACAAACCAGTTGCATCATATCAACATTGACTTGCTGGGTTGGTGGCTTTGTGAACGTCAGTTACCTTCAGGAGGTCTCAGTGGACGGCCAGAGAAGGTACAAGGTGGCTTCTTCTATTTGTTCAAACTGCAATAGACATTACTTTCTCTAAAACTGAAGGACTTCTGGAAAATGCCATTACTTCCATGAAACATTTGGTAAACTTATGAAAGAAGTTAGCCTTCCATTTTTATTTTTGTCACTAATGTTTGTCGTGCAGGCCTTAGCTGGTTTAGTTTGAGTCCTCAGTCTAGGAAGGAACTCACGCTGAAGGATGTCTTGCTGACCACTTGGACCATATTCTCTTGCATCGAGGCTTGAATATTTTCTGACACTGGGAAGGATCACTTCTGTAGGATTTGTACAAAAGTTACTATTTTATTAGATGTATATCCTGAGTGTAGTAGTGTTCTGTATCACACTAGGAAACTGTGTAAACTAGAATAATCTCCAGTACCAGTGGTGCAAACAGATAACCAACCAACAGATTTTAATTCCAAAAAATGAAAGTCATTAATAAGAAATTGTTTACTCCTGAAAAAGACACTGTTTTTTTAGCCTCTCCCACAGAAAGTTAAGGCTGTTTCAAAATCACATTCTTATGGTTTTGTTTCTTGAAGAAAGAAAGAGTTTTGAAAAAAAGACCTTCCCTTCACAAAAAAGGGAAGCCCTTGGGAAACAGACTGCACCCAGGAACTCTTTTCTCTTTACTCCAAAGAAACTCCTTAAATGTTTGGGATGTGTGGGGTTTTTGGGGGGTTGTGATATGCAAGCTCTAGAGTCCAGGGCAGGCTACATGTCTTCAACTTTCTTGGTGGATTTACCTGATCTAAATGAGTTTAAGTTTTACTGGGAATCCTTACACACCAGCTTTTGATCTGTGCCAGCCCAGCCCCTGAATTGTCTCACTGGCATTTGTCTAGTTGTGGGAGGAAGAAACTTCCATGATTGGCAGTTCTCTTGGTAGCAAAGATTCCATACAAATGAAAAAGCTGATGGACTTTGGAAACACACAAACTTCCTTTCTTCCCTCAGGTGGATCCATTTCACACCTTATTTGGAATAGCTGGACTATATTAGGAGAAGAACAAATGAAGGCTGTCAATCCTGTCTTTTATATGCCAGAAAAGTCCTTCATCCTTCGAAGAATAAATGTACAGCCTGAGCTTGCGAGCTAAGCCTTCGAGACAAAAGGTTGATGGTGCCCAGTTGCTTTGTTTTCACTAAGTGAAGTTATCTCATCTCTGAAGCAATTAACAGCCTGTTAAACACTACGAAACGTGTTTACATTACAAAAGTAAAGCAGTAGCTTTACTGTGGTCTTTGTTCCTGTGTAAACTGTATCAGAACGGCTGGTTCTTCTGAGTGTAACATGTTCTTTGGTTGTATATAAGATGTGTACAGACATTTATAATCTGTATCTAAATATATGGCCTTTTTTTTTTTTTATAATATTCAAGTCAAACTAATAATGTGAATGCTTAAGTTTTGTATCTGTGATATCAGCCATGCTAGTATCCTTCTTTACACAAGCATGTTTTGATGGTGGATCACACAATGCACTTTAAAAGAATATGAAAAAACACCCAAACAAAACTCTGCATAAGCCATGCACTTAATGCCACTTGTGTATTTAATTCTCCCTGTTCATGGTTGCCATCGCTTTTACGTACTGAGAAAGGAGCTGCTTCTTCTGACAGCAGTTGACACCAGTGAAAACAAAAATGACGGTTCCTTTAAGAATATAAATGTATTAATTTATTGATGGAGTCCCCTAGACAAAATTTCACTTATATTTGAAATAGGTATGTATACATACTCAAGGTACGTATAGTGGAAGTTGCTAATGCTAAGCATTCCAGAGAAGGTCTCTCTCTAGGACAGTGACTTGTAACTGAAAATGGAGTTGATCCTAAATGTGTTGCTGGGTTGAAATCCCTAATTTGTTGCTTTAAAGACAGTAATTGCCAACTCCTGATGATGGTGTAATTGAGCATAAAACTGTGGAAAATACTTGTTCTCTGAAGGATGAAGTCCTCTTTGTCTTCACAGAAGCTCTAAAATTGCCTCTTAATTTACATGCCACGCACCCCCTGGATGAGACTGAATAGTATTGCAGTTGAAATACACAGTAAAAGGTAGTTGTGAAGGGTAGGAAATATTTTATAATCTCTGTACTTATGCTTAAGCAAGCTGCAAAGTTGTTTTGAACACAGTTTTAAAAGCCAGCCCATGAGTTTTACCCTATTCTGTTAGTAGAGAGAAGCTAGAACTGGACAAAGTAACATCTGGGTAGGCTTTCACTTGTAGAGAATTTCAAAGAGAGAATGTGTGTGTGAGAGCTCAGGTGTTTCTAATGAATTTTTTAAGCCTTCTCTACTTAAGTGACCTAAAATCCCTGCTCTCTCCAGTTGCTGGATGAATCTGTTGGTCAAAGCCTGGAATTAATTTATTTTTTATGGCTTGGAGAGAAGTCACAGCAGGCTTTGTGTGGAGTGCAGGGAAAGGAGAGCACCGGTCAGGTTGTATCCAACAGTCAGCTCCAAGGAAAAGGTAAATGCATGTTTCTCATCCCAGCTGACCTTCGCAAGCGCCACTTCATCTCATCTCAGGAAGCCCTGCTCGGTACGTAGGAACTGACCATTTTTTCTGCGTTGAGTTGGCGAAATAGAACGATGTGCAGAATTTCTCGTGCAGCACCAGCTGGGGCACCCTGGGAGTTAGTTCTCAGGTGCTTCATTCCGCGCCTGACGGGAAGGAGCCAAGGGGAACGATTCTCGGGCACCGAACCCCGCGGGGCCGCGGGCCGGCTGGTGCGCATG